CACCCCCCGCCCCCCAAAGACAAATACTTAGCTATCAAATATTTTATTTTTCTTGCTTCTAAATATCGATCTAAAAAAAGACAAATATAATACTAATTCCTGACATTTATCAATGCGATTTACTAGTAATTAATCATAATCACCATAATCTTCATGAAGAATATAATCAATTGTGACATTTCTTGAACCACAAACAGAAAATACGACTTATATATGTGACTTTTTAATACTTCCATTACAACCAATCTATATATCTATATAATATAGAGTTAAAGAAGAAAAATCTATACAACCAATCTATATATTCATAATATAAAATATAATTAAAGATGAAAAATAACATTTGCAGCAATCATTTCTAAACGTCATACATGACGAACGTTATACACCTATATATTAGTTATACCTATATATTAGTTATACCTATATATTAGTTATACCTATATGTACATATTTATATTTCAAAAACAATTCAATCTGTTGATAATATTTTTTATTTTAGTTCAGTGTTTGTTCTTCAGGCGCTTATACTGTCGTCACCACGACTCAAAACTTCTGCTTTTTTGAATTAAAATGGTCGAGTAATATATTTTTCCGGGTTTTACATGGACTAGTAATCTCACATCAATGTCAAAACAACATTTAAGCATGGCAATATCTGTTATCATGGTGCACGCACATTTTCAGTGATTTTAACACGGTGGGCTAGCTATTCTAGTGTTTTGTCTATAATACTCAGTGTTATAATAACTAAAACCTTTTAAAATACATTCATAAAATCCATTTAGAATCGAATCTAGACAAGATAGATTTTTTAATAACTTGGGTAAGGGTGGGTAAAGTCGTTTCGCCCTTTGAGGAAAAGTAGTCTCTCTCTCTCTCTCTCTATCTCTCTATCTCTCTCTCTCTCTCTCTCTCTTCATTCATTCTTTAATTCTCTCTACCATGATATATAGGTAGTAAGTTCATCTTAGTTTCTTTTTAAATCATGCATTGTTTGTAAATAGGATTTTTATCTTACGAGTCTCATGTAAAGAGGCGTTATACACTTATGAAATCATCGTACTGAAATCAAGGTGCTATCTATCTATCTACATATCTGTCTTTCACCCTTACGAAAAAATAAAAATAAAAATAATAATAGCGACTACATCGGAGACAATGTTCAACCTGCTTACTCAGTGTTCCTATATTATTGTTAATCATTGCAATTCAATATTAGTAATGTTTGTAACCTGATTACTTCTCTGCACATAATGTCTTCCAATCCGCCTGACTATCTCCCTCGAAGCCACACGAAACTTAGAACTGAACAGAAATATGATAAAAGGATTGACGGCAGAGCTAGCGTACGCCAGGAACACTCCGATAAAAAGAAAAGTATTCCAGCTACACTTTTCTTCACTGGAATAATCTTTGATAAAAAGATCGAGAAAGACAACAGTGTTCAAAGGCGTCCATGCTATAGCAAATGAGATTACGATAGCAAAGGAGAGATAGAAGACTTTGCGTTGTCTCATCGAGCGTTGAGTGTTCTGTGGCTCGGATAGCGAAACACCTATACGTCTTTGCTGGCCTTTGAGTCGAACAAAAATGAAAGAATAAGCTACTGCCATGAGGATAAAAGGCGCTAGAGCAAAACATATAAAGACAGAGATATAATAAGATTCGTATGTTAGACCTTTGGGATCCCACTGGATGAAACAATGAAGTCGGTTGTCATGAGTTGCTACGCTGAAAGATTCGAAGTAAACTCCATGGATAACGATCCCCAAAACCCATGTTAATGAAGCGATGAGAATACACGATCTTTTTGTCATCAGAAAGCGCTTTAGAGGAAGTACGATAGCGTAAAATCTATCTATAGTTATCAAAATAAGACTGAATATCGAAACAGCCGTGGAAAGGTCTTGCAGAAAGAACACTARTTTACAAAGTACCAAGCCCGCGGTTCCACTAATCAGCCAGCGGCGGTCACCAAAGTAGATCTCCACGATTCGTCTCGGAATGACAAGGAGAGGGAAAATGAKGTCTGAGAGCGCCATGTTAGCAATAAAGATATCTGTGGTGTTCTTCATACTTTTCGAGCTCACTACAACGATCAGGATGAGAGAGTTCCCAACAAGAGCCAACAGCATCACAATAACGTTAGCCAGCGTAGCTCCAAGCCTTTCTGTTTGTGTACTCAAGACAGCGGTGCATTGCAGTGCTACCGTTCTATTTGCCAGGGAAACCAACGATGTGGAGTTAACTGGCAGCATCGTGATTCTAACGAGGGGCTAAAGATTTCATTCACAGCTGCTATCGATGTGAAGCGAACCCAAAGAACTACGACTTTCTTCGCATTACGACGTTATGCACTTGTTATTATATCTTTAGATACTTGATTCTGATTGGTCGTAAATGTGTGCCATATTTAAAACCTACATTTCAATGGTGGGATTAGAGAATAATGCGTTTTTAAGTATTTGAGGGGTTTTACGTTGAAAACGCTCTAAGAAATCATCCACTTTCGATTCTTTTCAAGAAAAAGCGTAATGAGCTTAAAAGGAAATGTCCGGTCGAATTATGTTTTATGATTACAGTAATTTTAAGTAACACTTTCACCTAAAAACAGATTTGGAAAACGACCTTCATTGTGTATGCTTGATATTCCAAGTGTCATTCGTTGAGTATTATTTCTTTCCTTAGCAGTAGTCCTTGAAAAGTTTAACCATGTAAAAAAGAAATTAAGTGAATTAAGCTAAGACTTGTTCTTAAGATATTTGCAATGGAAGAAACACATTAGGAACAGACTGGACAACTACAATTATTCTTCAAATTTGTCTTTTYAAAAGCTTTTAAGATCATTCAAGAGGCTTTTGATTAAAAGCATTCGAAATCTGCCCTTTCTTGCTCTCTTGAAGCCGTTTTCATATCCTTAGTTTGAAAAACGTTTTCTTTTTCAAGGCGCTTTGAGTTCAAAAGATATCCGTAGAATGAAAAAACATTAACAGAATATACGAAATCGTTCAGCTATTAATTAACAATTATTCGCCAAAGGTGAATTGAATATCGGGGAATATTTACCGAGAATCGAGTCTCCGATATTCACTTCACCTTCGGCGAATAATTGTTTTAGTATAAATACACAGGTGATTCTTTCAAAAAAAGAAGAAGATCAAAGACATTTTTTTCCGGTAACAGCAACAAAGCGGCTGGCCGCCATTTTGGATTATCGCTGGAGGTGATTATCGTGGGATAGTGTGAGTTTCTCGACCAATCAGTGCGCGAGATTTTCAATAATCACCTGTGTATTTTTACTAAAAAAAAACATTAAAGTGATAATGGGTTAATTCTTTGCAAAAAAGAATTTTTTTAAATGATAAGGGTTTATTATATAAAAATTAGACAATTAAATAAATTAGATAATTAATTATTATATAAATATATTATTAATGAGCCAGCTTCCACGACCAACGAAACGTCTATTACCAGCTAGGTACTAACATCTGAAAACATACTTCTATACTAGAGGAACCTTTAAATATAATATAATTAATAATTAATAAATAGTGATATTTTATTATTTTCTATTAATTTTTGTATTACTCTATTTTTAGAGTTTAAAAAAAGAGGAAAAGGTAACCAATAAAAAACTACAGAACCAAAGGTAAAAAAAAACAACAAAAAACAAACAAAACAAAACAAAACAAAAACAAACAAACAAACAAACAAATAAACAAGCAAAAATTAGAACAAAAACAAAGGAGTAATGTGTGAGTGATGATTCTTAAGAATGCTACAATGTGCAGATGGAAAGTGGTCTTCATTTAATCAAAAAACATTTACATGCAATTTTAAAGCAAAAGGAGATAGATGAGTGGACCTTAAGCTTTTATTGGGGGGGCATGTGCCCCATGTGCTCCCCCCTGGTTACGGCCCTGTTTTGTAAACAACGCAGATGAACGTTTAATGCTATATAATTTGCGCTTTAAAAGCATAATTTTCTCATTATTGAAACTTGTAAACTATCACTTATTATAGATACGCTTTCAGTGTAACTCAAAATATGAAAATGACTTCGGCGTCTTCGTACGTAAATAAATAGACAAAGAATAAAAAATTTTTTAAAAATGGAATGTCTTCTTAGTGCCAATAAGAATGGAACAGGGAGTATATTTTTTTGTTTTGTTATCTATCCACTTTAAGCCTTATGTTTCTCAATTCTCAAAATATCTCGGCTTAAACTCCTTGAACTAAAGTCATTTCATTTTTCTATCCTTTTCGATAAATACGAACATACTCTAGATAAGTAAACCAAAAGAGCAAGAACAGGAACTTTATCGTATTTTTGCAGTAAATCTGCCTAAGTCGCTTCTCATTGACTGCTAATTTCAACCTAAGCTTTAAGATTTAACTCAGGCCTCTTGGCAACAATTTAAGTGTTAATTTAAACTCAATTGAAGTGATTTGAGCAAATAACTTACACTTCACAAAAACAAACAAATCTGAGTAGTATAGTTCTAGGAAACGTTCTTTAAAAAATACAAATTTAATGAAAAATTAATTCATTCCTTGTTATATCAAGTTCTAAAGCCCTAAAACTTCAAAACTACACTCAAAATATTACAAACCATAAAAAAGGCATTTTCTATTATTTGCCTTTGATTTTTTGTGGCGTTTTATCTTCAATTTCATTGACATCGAGAAAAAACGTAAGCGAAAACATAAAAATAAAAGGGACAAAAAGGAACTAAAAAAACAAAACCCAAGCTCAATTACCATACTACGTGCATGGTAGCAGACAATATTTGTCGACAAAACAAGATAAAGCTAACGGTTTTCGCATCAGTTGAAAGGACGTACACGTTAAATTAGCAGTCGTACTGTGTAGCCGTACCGTATCTCACCGTATAGACTTAACTATGTGTTAATTTACTACAAGACAACGGCAAGGAATTTCGATCTTACGACARTGACTAGTACTAATACTAGTACTAGGACCGAGGAGGGATCCATGCGGTATCCCACAGGTAACCAACCTCTACCTAGATTTATTATTTCTTATTAAGTCTTATTATTCGTATGATTAATGTTATCGCATGTCGCACCGTGTATGTGCAGTGAGTACCGTGTTTCGCACAGATACGAACATYGCTTTACAGAATATTTTCGTCGATCTTCTATGACAAAAAATTAATAATGACGCAATGTTTTCGACATAAATCCATCAGTAATTACCCTAGCATCCATCCACGCGGAATGACTTCAGTGTTTGTTATTTTGTTGACTTGTTTTTACACCCTGAGTTGTAGAATTATCATTTCAGGGGGGAGGGGTTGGTTCCATGTTGTATTAATAGTAGCCGTTCAAAGCTTTTTGAAGTCTTAGCATGAACTCGATTCAGAATATGTCTAAAGAATATATGTCTAATATATATATATAATCTTTATTATTTTAAGAACCGCAGTGCAACAAGAGGATTTTATTTTATTTTGTTTTAAAAATAAGTCGTTTAACAATACACACATCTACATAAATACCCCACCCCCCATTGACAAAGCTAATTTATCWACAACACAAAGCTGGATATGCTACAAATGCAAGAGCCAAGCCATGTTTTGATTCACTTCTCATCTTAACGCGTGGCAAGAAGTACTAAAACAAGATTCCAAGAATTTGGTGTGGATTTATACAAGGTATTTTACACTCTTTTCTGTAGAACACTTTGAAGACTATCTTGTCTGTGAATCTTACAAGAAAATTCGAAATTAAATATATCTTTTACTTTTCTAAATAAATTTAATTTTGGAATCCATATTATTTTGATTTAATCGCATCTAAAAGGATGAGATTGTATTTTTGGATTTTTCTTGAGCAGATCACAGTTAACTTGGAGTAGAAAAGAAAATGGAGAAAACTGTCTTCCTGGCTGTGTTGGTTCTTTGTACTCTTTTTGATAGTCTCAGCGGACAAGGGCTTGGATACATCGTCCGGCGCGATGGTATGGAATAAAATACATAAGAAAATTCTCTAATATGAATKTATATAAATTCAAGTGGTTTTTGAATGAGCGCGAAATGGTTAGAATGATTCTCCTTATATTTCGATTTTAAAATAATATTTTTTCTATCACATTTGAACACGAATATTTTGGTAATCACTTTATCATAAGATACTAAAAAAATATATAATTTCGATCTCAAAACTAAACTCAAATATAACAAGAGTATAAGGCCCCGTCCACACGTATCCGGAAATTTGTGTATCCGCAAATTTTTTTTTGCGGATACGGGTTTTGTTGCGTCCACACGTGTCCGGAAATTTTTGTATCCGTATCCGCAAATTTTACGAAAATGGTCTCCAGAGTGGAAATTTTCGAATACGCTCCGAATACGGATACGTGTGGATGGTCGTGTCCGCAAATTTTTGAATACGCTGACGTAAACACGATTTTGCGCATGCTCAATAAGAAAAACTATCCGTCAAAGGGACTAGGAACTAGCTCGAATCAGGGCGGATCAAGAAATATCCGGATATGTGTGGACAGTGAAAACGATTCGAAAACGATTCGAATACGCTGCGTGTGGACGCGAACATTTTCGTATCCGCAAAAAAATAATTTGCGGATACAAAAATTTCCGGGTACGYGTGGACGGGGCCTTTAATTACGTTTTACAAGCAGGCGTAGCTCAGTTGGTTATTTTGCATCATTAACATTATTATTAACATCATTAGCAAGAACATTATAGGCGTTATTAAAAAGAGCAGCGAATTTGCGGCTTTTGAGTGCGCATAAACTTTGATRCAAAGAACTATATTAACACATATTATATCTAAAAACCAGGCCATTTTAGATTAAACTGTTTCGCTAGGAGCAAATTTTGTTGAATTTTCTATTGGATTTGGCGATTCTATCCCCCACATAAACAAGCAGTGACGTCATAGTGAAATAGGGCAATTGYCGTGCGTCATCAACTTGTGCGCGTGCGMTCTTTCTGTTTCAATAGGCCCTTTGCAGCTAAGCAATCACGTGCTGATTAATTCACTGAGAGCAAATGAATGAACATTTTGATTCCCATGGGTGAAATTTACTGGACTGCAAACAAACTTTCTACAACCTGTTTCGAGAGATCGTCATAAAACTACATTTCGTAACACACTGGGTACACATGTTTTCATTCAGTTCTTTACAAGTAGCTAAAAAGAATCACCAATTTAATATAAAAACAAAAATTTTGCAGTCCAGTACAGACACGTGACCGTTAACTACAAAGGGCCTATTGATCCCCTATTCTATGCTAGATAAATGTGGATTACTGTATTAATTATATAACAATAAAGGTATGACCAAATACAATCAAGTGTCATTTTTCCAAGTCTTAAAATTGATTCATAAAGATCTCTTCCACGACAGAATTTTTAAAACGCAGCGGATGATGGAAAAAATAGGACAACAAAGCAGCCAGCCAGTGCATTGGAGCGCGAAAACCATGGATCAATTTATTTTTTATCAAATTTATCTCMGTTGGCTATAACGTTTTGACTTCTATTTGAGGGTGCTCGTACCTATACCTAATTAGAAGACTTAAACGCACTAGACACATGCATGCCAAGCAATGCGCACACTATGAAGTGTAAAAAGAATGATAGTTATAAAAGCGTATCCCAGCGGAACACCCCTACCCAAATTCTGGCGGAGTATCCCCTCCCCCCCGCCCCACGGGCTCTCAACCCCTCCGCCGCCAAGGTCTGATGCTCAGGTTAGTCCATCCATCCATCCATACCGACTTATTTACTGATCTACCACATAAAGCTTCTAATATTGATTCAATTAATGGATCTCACAAACATTACATATCAAGTACCCGCTAAAAGGTTAAATACAATGATTTCTTCATTCTCAAACATAAGCCATGGCCTTTCAAAACAGGAGTCCACCAGGAGTAACTCGATATACGAATGCAGCTACTATAATAGTCAAAGGATGCGAGGCAAGTTAAAATCCTCGATAATAATGATATAATCCTGTTTCCTACTAATCGCTTTAGCGCTAATCGAGGGGGGAAACCAAAGAGAATTTAAGTTTAAGCGATTTATTTGTCGATATTTTCTTACCGAATTTTTGCAGAGGTGACCTATTTATCAAACAAGCGTAAACCACCCCTGGTAAATGAAACTGCTCGCTTCGAAACCTTTACGGCAAACAACTTCCTCTTCACTACTTTTCCAAAATTAACGCAACATTTGACGTTGACAGAACTGGAACCTGGAAGACATAATGTTCTAAATGCCGCTCATACGATAACACCTGCTGCTCGTAGTTTTGGATGGATATATGTCAGTATTTTCTTTTTTGATGTATTAGTATTTAGTATTTGTAAAACGTACGTTTATTTTGGAGAAACTTTATAAGGGTCTCTTGTCCTGTTGTTCTTTCTAGCTAAACTTATGTTTCTNTTTATAGCTGTTGAATACACAAATACACAAATATTTAAACAAGTGAAATCACATTTTTGCATCAGCCTTACCAGAACTATCGACAAGGGTAAAGTTTCGCAGAACTTTTGTTGGGCAATTGTGACCGTATCCGATGATGCCATGGTCAACATAGAATGGTGCGAACATTTCATCCTAAAGGATAGTAAAAAAAACATKACTTGATATGTCATAAACAATTACTAAACGCTACAAAGTTGTGAATTTACCTTCCAAATTTCCAAAAGATGGAACTGGTTTCTTTTGAGGTGTAAATGTACTGCACATTGCTCACAGAAGAACTGTCGTGGACCACACTCTTGACATCGTATCTTGGCTGGTTGCGCATTACATTCAGAACATGCAGTTCTAGTTAAGGAGCATTCTTCCATAAAAGCATCGATCACTGATTGCCTTATCTTCTCCCAGTTGTTAAAAGAAAAAACTTGTCTTCTTTGATGAATAGAAAGTTCACATGTTGGCTCGTCGAGCAACACTTCGCTAGTACTAGAGCACGTTGTTTTCGTTTCTGATTTTTTTTCGGCAGTTTTCTTCACGACGTTAACGGGCACATACACGGAACGTTTACCACTCCGACTGATGAATGTGGTTTTCAATTTCAMGGCTCGCAATTTCTTCATTAATAGATTGATTTTACAGTTATATTATATTTTGACAATGTTGCTCTAAGAAAATGGCTACTAGTAACGAGGCGGCGTCAAGCTGCAGACCCAAGCAACCAGAAAGCCAATCTAATCAGTGATTGGCTAAAATAAAACAATTGAACCATGTTCCACTTCAGTTGGTTTAGAGTACAGTCTGAAGAGGGTCCGACCCAAAGATCTAAATTTAGATATTTGGGTCGGACCCAGTTTAGATTGGAAAGCTAAAAGAGCCTAAAGCTACAGACGCGGAAGTTCAAATTCGTTAGTTAATGATGAGATCTGGAAATTAAAAAAACATTTATCACAACATTTCTGGTGTTTCTGGTGTTTGTTTCATTTGATCAATATTCTGGACCATTAAGGTTAAGTTAAAGGTTTTTAAGTATTCAGATGCTCTGTCGATTTCCTCAGGGCATTTTCTCTTAATGATGTTACAACTAATCTATTATAATTGGATTTATCACGCCATGGTGGACGGCTATACAGAGATCGAATTAGAATTTAGAAGTAGATTTTTGTGGAGGTAGGAGAACCTGGAGGAAAAAACTTCGAAGCACAGGAGAATCAACTAACAACTCTACTAACATACGACACCGAGCCCGGCGGGACTCGAACACCGGTCGCTCTTATCGCTACGCCACCCGCACTTCCCAAGGGGATGATCCGTATCCTGCTATAAAGGACGTTCATGAGCAAAAGATCTCATCGTCATATTTTTTTTACACGAAAGTTTTTTAAAAAAAAGAAATAAATACGCTCTCAGTAATATAAAATATTAAAAGTGTCTCACGTGGTGTCTAAACTGACTCCGTTATTTGATACTTTAATATTTAGTTAATTTTAATAATACGACTTAATGATCCTTTCTAATACTTTGAAGATTACTTCAACCCTAAGTTTGAAAATAATTTTTGTTGAGCTTTGTTGGGAAGAAGACAAACAATGGAAAAAAATAAAAATACGACAGAAAGCAAGGAAAAATTTGCAGGCTGGGAAAAGTGAAAAAGGAGCAGCAAGATAAAATTAATTTCTGATTAAGCTATGATAATTGGCACKCAGAATTCTTCAGTGCATCTGTCTCTGTTAAATAAATTGTTCTTTGTCTTGTTCATATGCCAAGCTTCAATGCATGTTCYTCTGCATGGTGCCATCGCCTGCTTCATTCGTCGATAATCTTAAATTAAATTAAATTTCTTTCTAGCATAGCTATACYTTGCTCACCCTTCGTTCTTTAGTCTCTCGCACACTCTATTCTGGTTTTTTTTTTTTCCTTCAGTTTTACGTTATAGTTATTGTAACGGCCAGTATTTTACTGAAGTAAAAGTTCAAAAGCTCGAGCAAACCTATTGTTAAACATAGGTTTGAAGTAACCTTTATTAACATTGAATTTAAAAACAACTCACAACACACTTATTTAAATTATAGTTTTACCAATGTGATATTTCTCTAGCTACTCCCCCCATCACTCGACTCCCAGTTCATCAACCGAGTCGTGAGTAGTATACACTTTATTGGATTCATCCTCTCCCATCMTGGCAGAATATTGAAGTCGARACTTAAATATTTGCTATGAATGAGCGAGGATGAATCCTATAAATACTTTATTGTATYGAACAAATATTTGTTTTCTATAGAAAGACCACTATATGGTGCCATARCAATATTGGAGGTTTTTTTGTGAGGTATACTTAATTAAGTTGTTAGTTGGCTTTGCTTCTGTGTTTCGAAGATTTTTCTCCGGGTTCTCCAGTTTTTCAATATTTTTTCTCCGTATTTTACCAGAATCAACTCGGCACACATGCGCGTGCATRCCAAACGTATTTTGATCATTGTTTACGATGAAATGATAGGGTATTTGGCCATTTAGTCAAGAGCGGGACTTAATGAACGTCGTGCTTGGCATCCGCTTTGCAAGTTTCTTCCTGACASCCTGCAGGGCTCAAAAGAAACTAGTACTTTTACCTGAAAAGAAGTCATTGAGACTTGCCCGAGTAAGATATATGTTCCCACTTGATTGAAAAATATTTTACCCTATATAGTTCAAGCTGTCACTATACAGCCTCCTGAAAAACGAACTTCCTTCAATTAATTAACAAACGTTAAACTATTTCCTTGATAAGAAGAACGTGATTGAACCATTTGGGTAAATGATTCGAGGGCCATTCTAGGGAATGTAAATAATATGATGATTATATCTAAAAGAAAGTCAAAGAAACAAGAAAAAAATTATCTTAATTTCAACTTTTACTTTTATTTTTATCTAACCCTATCTAATTCAGCCCTTTAAATTCAGTTGGTTACCAATGCTCTCACCTACAGATAACTTACAAACAGATGTTGCATCGTTTACAATTCTTCAGTCGTACTAATGGTTTCTCTTTTATTCAATAGCTACATCCAGCTGGGACTATAGAACGACATTAGCATACACTTCATATATATTCATGTGGCCAGATAAAAGTATTAGCACAAGCTATAAGCGTCAGTCGTTAATTAAAGTGAGCATGCAACACCAAAGACCCTAAATATGGCATTTTCCCAATACTGGCAAAATGACTTAAATTTGAACGTTACTGGCTACTCAAACCATTCCCAGAACTACTCAACTCCATTACAATCGGGGACAGCTTCAAGACCTACATGGTATTGGATTTTGCGTGGAATCATTGCCTTCGTTACCGCAACTGGCAATGGTTTGGTGATCTATATCATCTGCTCACGAAGAAGACTTCGCTCACAGCCCTCGCCAAACTGGTTCATCCTTTCTCTTGCAGTCGCTGACTTTCTTGTCGGAGCGTTCAATGCTCCTTCACTGTTCTTTTATTCATTTTACGTAAAAGCTAACAATGAGTTGTGGACGGGGTTTGAGTTTTTCTGGAATGTCTTACTTATTGCCTCTACGACAAACATCTGTGCCTTGACACTTGATAGATACATAGCGGTTCTCCATCCATTCAGACACACACGCTTCGCCACGGCTTCTTCCTGTCTGATVACCATAAGCTTCGCCTGGATYCTTCCCGTATTTCAGCGGATTCCTTTCCTCGTCTTGAAGCTTAAAGATACCCCAATTGACAAGTACTTTGCTTATCAGATTTTTTACATCTGTTTTTTCATCTTTCTTCCGAACGTCTTSTTGTTGTTCGCATACATTCGAATCATTATTGTTGTCAAGAAACATCGCAAGGAGATCAAGTCGCAAGAAGTGATTCTAGAATCATCCGCTAACGCCGCTATAAGTCGAGATTGCACCTCAAATTCAAGCAATGAAACMGCAACCGCAAGAAGAAACTCCATCAAATGTACCATCGCTGTTGGTGTCGTTGTCGTCATATTCTTAGTTTGCAACGGTTTTGTCCAATACTGGTTGATGTGCCATTATTTGTTTCCTTCCTGTAAGGAAAGTGAATCAACGCAATCTTTTTATGCAATGGTAATGCTAAGGTATTTTAACTCCGCTCCGAACTTTTTTGTCTATTCTTTAATTAAATCTGACTTTCGACGAGAACTTAAAACCCTATTTAGATTAAACTGAAAACAACGCTTGATTTGCGAGAGCAACATCAGGAAGAACAACAGAAGATATTCACTTTAATTCAGTTGAAGAAACTAGTATTACTGTAGCACTAAAACACTTGTGAATAGAATTATTATGAATTCCGTTAAGAAATCCAGGATGCTTTACTAACGTTTTCGTTGGAAGTTCATTTAATATATTTACCTTACCAAATAARAAACATCATAAACAACGCAGAATACGCTGTTTGTTTTTACTTCCCCTTTTTTGATTTCATCACAACGTGTGCCCTTCTCTTTAACTATTTCATTTTAAAAACAAGAAACGCACCTGCCGATCAACGTGTAATATTTTGAGCATTAATTTTTCGGTAAAAACAAGTGCGATTCATAAGTAAATCATAAAATGTATATAGGTCCAGGAGGTTTCATTTCACAACGGTTATTGCATTCCTTCTACTAGTTGTGGCAATRTGCCTGTTAAATTGTGATTATGCTTAGATTTAAATAAAGTATTCTGTCAAACAGAGTAACAATATTATATATAAAGGGTTACACAAACAAATCGGAAATAAAAAATACAGAACTATATGATATCTCCTAATTACCTTACCATTTGTTTTACTCATTAATCATTATATTTTACGATAATTTAATGCAGTTAGACGAAATATTTTTTGCATATATGGCAATTATCAAGTTGGCAATTATCAGCCCTGCCAGCTGCTTATGAATTTGATATGTCCCGTGAATAAAGGCAAGGATGTTTCCTCATTTAGTATCATCTAAACAAACATACATTTACTATGCTATTGCGTTATCAATTAATTTAACGATATGCGGAAATATTGTCATTGGATCTAATTAAAGAAACTAATAAAAGGAAAAAAAAGAAAACAAATTAAAAATATTTTTCATCATAGCTCGAACTTTAGTAAAATTACACAGGTGATTATTGAAAATCTCGCGCGCTGATTGGTCGGAGAAACACACACTTAAATCACCTACAGCGATAACCAAAAATGGCGACCAGCCGCTTTATAGCTGTTKCGGGGRAARATGTCTTTTATCTTCTYTTTTTCATTTTTTGAAAGAATCACCTGTGTATTTATRCTAAAACAATTATTTGCCTCAGCTTCAGTGAATATCGGAGAATATTTACCTCGCCGCTCGAAGACTCGCGTCCCGGAAAATGTTGCCCGACATTTTCGCTTCGGCGAATAATTGTTAAGCAGAAACAAAACTTGGACCAAGAATATTGTCTTCATCGAGTGAATAGGATTTGTGTTAAAACATATTGGATCAACAGTTGCAAAGATATGATTATAATGAAACACATCTTTTGTAGAATATTCTCATTCTGTACGCGCGTAATATTGAGATGATCAGTATGATTGCCCACCCTAGAAGGCTTTTAGTTTTGTTTAAATCAATTTGAAAAAAGAACTAACACATACAATACATATACGAAAAGAGCAATGGAAGCTATTGGACAGAAATTGATAGCTTAGTTGTGCTCACTGAGTTATAATGAGTTTTTCTTAATATCAAAATTGTCAAAAAWTTTTCCCTTTTACAWTTCATTATTATTWTTTAGTCACTTCTTGTGTCCACAARAGAATACCATCTTACTTAAAAGCCTTTTAGCCTCTTTGTTAGCGGAAATCCAGCTTCCTTTTACTGTTTTTTTCTTCTTCTAGAAGAGTGAGTTCCTGTGTGTCTAGTGTTTTTATTGTTTTGAAACAATGCCGTTACTTCAAGGGGGCCAGCCTGATGACGGCTAGCAGTAGCAAAATTCAAATTCTCTCCGTTGTTATCGGGTTTTCTTTTGAAATGAAACGCAGTAGACGTTTTATCTATTTTTATATTCGTTTATAAGACACATGTTTTAAATTTAATGTAAACAGCGCCTTTGAACTTCACGGATAAAGGCGCTTTACAAATTACGGAAAATGACTTTATTATCCTTTTTTTTTTCTCCCGTCGCAAAAGCTGATCGAGTTCTATAAACGTAACTTCGATTCGATCCGGCATCAAACGYTCTACCCATCTGCCACTGACATGTAAGAAAAAGTGCGTGGTCAACGTGAAATAAATTGCATTGCATCGGATCAATCGTAAAATGTTAAATTTCATGCGAGGTCAACGTGAAATAAATTGCATTGCATCGGATCACTCGTATAGTGTTAAATTTCATGCGAGGTCAACGTTAAATAAATTGCATTGTATCGGATCACTCGTATAGTGTTAAATTTCATGCGAGGTCAACGTTAAATAAATTGCATTGTATCGGATCACTCGTATAGTGTTAAATTTCACTTAACCATGCGATTTTTAGAAGTTGGTCATGTCCAGTTTAGCACGTGGTTTATATATATATTTTTCCACGGGGTCATGTCCACGTTATTACGTGGTCATGCTCACTTTACCACGCGGTAATTTCCACTCTATTTTAGTACGTGATTATATCAACTTTTCCACGTGGTCATGTTCWGCTTTCCACGTGGTCATGTCTATACTTTATCACGTACGTGGACATTTTTACTTTACYGCGTGATCATGTCCACAAAGTGTGGACACTTTTTTACGTGTTCCATTACTAACTTTTAGTAAGTGGATATGTACATGCACTTTTCCACGAGTTCATGTCCGCTTTTCCACGTGGACATGTCTACTTTTCCACGTGGTTCATCTCCACAAAGTAGACRCTATATCACGTGATCATTATAGTAAGTTTGAAAAATGATCACGTGATAAAGTGGACATTAACACGAAATCATTCATAGGAGTTTTATTTTATTATGCGTAATCACAAGAAAGACAAAAAAAAAACACCTAAATCATCAATAAGTCGAGCTATGAATAGCACTTACTTTTTTCTATTCCAAAGAAATATACATCCATAGCAAAGCTGTTTCCTATTCCCTTATAGCAGATACCCGAGGGACCATGTTTGGCGTACGTCAGATGTGCAGTGGGGCTGGTAAAACACTGCCCAAAATATTGCACAGCAAAGGCTTTCCATCCTTTTGACCTTGCTATATCTGCACATTGATCAATAGAAGCAATATCTTCCCATCCGAATGTTTTGAATACACCTCCCTTAATGGCACGATCCCAGTTGTCTTTGTAACATCCTTTCCGATAGTAGTCTGAAAAACAAGAAAAAGATACTGTTAAATTTTTTATGCAGTTTTAATCTTCCTATCATTTTATGTTCTTTTCTTTGGTTCACTCTTTCCTTCCTCTCTTACTCCGTTCCTCCCTCCCTTCCTTCCGGCTTGTTTTTTTTCTTTGTGCTGATTTTGAAGGGATACTTCACTTTTAACCTATTCTAAACGAATACAAAAATGTAAACTTAACAGTTYGATTAGACATACCTCGAGAAGCCGTTGTAATAAAACAAGCAAATGCTGTAGCAATGAAGATTACAATTTTTATGATAACCATAATCTCTTTTTATTTGTGAAGCTTGAAGAAAGCGAGCTGCGACACCTTAAAAAAACAAACGTACTTGTACTCCAGGGTCCTCAGTCGAAATATTATGGTTAAGCAGACATTACTATTTTTAACACTAGTGGTACATGTAGTGGKGGAATAGCACATCTTAAAGTCAAGCCTTCTGTCGCCTCCTCTGCGTAGTTAGCTATGTTTCCTTATTTCTTACATTCGTACCTTAACCTTTCATTTTCAAAATCATAGCAAAAGATTGAGTCAAACTTATGATACGTATAAACAAATGTCAAACTGTGCGTCAGCGAGAAATGTTTCCGAATGCTTCAACAGCATTTGGTTGCTTTCCGGTATAAAAAAACATCGATAGATATACGTTACTTCAAACAAAACAATTTATTTATTTGTTTTTGCCGGAAGAAACGTTTATTTAACAACCTATTTACAAAAAAACACTTGACAAAATAATTGTAAATATATTTTTGGGCATATAGTTAATATTACGTTATCTTATTTATTATTATTATTATTATTATTATTATTATTATTATCATTATCATTAT